TGAGGGTTTTACAAGGTGTCTAGGGTCTATAGGAGCTTAACTTTCCAATTGGGTAATTTTTTGACCGCGGCCCGGCCTCCGTTCCGCCAAATTTCCAAAATAGCCCCTTGCTAGTTTTGAGAGCGCTCGCCAAAGGGGGCAGTGAGTTCGCAAAATTGGCGGCGCCCGCCCTACGACACGGGCACCTGCCCATGTTCTGATTTCATTAAAACCCCCACTTCCATGACTCAATTCAAATGTTTAACTCTCCCTTCTCTCTTTCCTTCGACCTAACCTCCCTATTTCCCATATCTTCCTCACTTCCAACCTTTTTCCATTTCTTCCTCTCCCATCTCCATCATTCTTCAATCACACCCACCCCTCTCACCCTCATCATTCCATCCATCTTCCACCAATCAAGAGGAATTTTGTGGGTTTCTCCATCAAATTGGGTAAGCTTCCTCTTCCCTCTCTTTCTTTCAATTTTCGGATCAATGGAGAATGGGATTGACTATGAGGAAGTGTAGTATTTGTTTGGGGTTGTGTATTGTTAATTGCAGGTCAAATTTTTTTGGGTTTTCTAGTCTCTAATCAATATTTGACCCTCTTACTTTTTTTCTTGTGCACCAGGTGTTCGACGAATTGCCTAAGCCAAATCCTCCTTCCCAATGGCACCCAAAACCTCCTCCAGGTGTGCTCGATCATCCGAGGGACCATCCGGGAAGCTCCTATGCCAAATTGGGCTGAGTAGCCCATTGAAATGGAGGCCAAATTTATCATTAAGGACGAGTTTGAAGAGAACCCGAAAATGGCGTGGGCGGTCGAAGAATTGAAGGACTGTGGCCTCAAAGCTTTATTCAAACCACGTGCTGGCTCGTTTTATCTGTGCATAGTCCTCCAATTCTACTCTAATATGTTTTATACATGCGTGGAGCCGGAAGTCATTAAGACCACCATTGATGGCACACCCTTTGAATTCACTATTCATGACTTTGCTACGGCCTTAGACTATCCATTGGACTCTCCTTTGGATGACGAGAACCAGCCTCTCTACGATGCACCTCTTGAGGAGTTGAGATTGTCATAAATTGTCGAGGAAATTTGCCACAACCTGTATACCAGTAATCGCAAATCAAGCACGAATAAGTCATACCTTTTGTACCGATTGTGGTTCGTGGACTCGGTCCTTGATTGACTACCCGTTAGGCGGTGCCAGTGGCTCACCCTCCACTTCGATGATAGAGTGATTTTCTATTTTTAGTACTCATTTTCATTTCCAGTAATACTCTTTTGCTTTATGTTTGGCAGCGTTTGGCATTTACTTTCAGCTCCTATTTTGAACTTCTAACTGCAACCCTTTTTGCTATTCTGCATAACTACTCGGTTTTTCGTTAAATAAGATTGTAGTTGTTTATTTTTCTCTCTGTCTAGATTTATATGATGCTTGTTGTGCATAGATGTATTTTGACAGGTTTTTAGAATGAAGTTTGGGGGCGTTACTTTTGGAATTCGCATGGTGGTCTGTTTATACCACCACTGATTTTTCCTCCACTTGGTATTATTGCTCTTTGTACCCTCCTTTTTCAATTCCATTTCCATTCTCTGACTTCTCACATTGAGGACAATGTGACATTCAAGTTTGGGGGTACATTATTGCATTTTTGGTATTACATTTTTGATTGCATGCGCTAAATTGTTCATGTAAATTAATAAAATCATTTTTTGGAAAGCGATGATCTTATAACCTTGGAACTTGTTGGAGATTGAAGTATATGTTTAATACTTTGTGTATAGAGGAAAATGATAGTTTTGAAAATAAAAAAAAAAATTGAAATGATCATGTTGATTCATATTGGTTTGAATAAATGCTTCAATTAGATTTTCGTCGGATTTCAAACTCTTCTATGCGTCACATTTCATAGATGCATACCAGAAACTTAATTGTGAGGCATGTAACCTGATTTACTTTGACCATGACTTAGTTGATTTGAATTGATGACCCTAATGAATGGATATCTTTGGCATTGAAAAAAAAACAAAATAAAATGAATAATGATAATTCAAGTTATTAAGCCTTTGGAGTGTCCTTATACTTAGCACCTTAAAGCCATCCGGTTTGGGAGTTGCTGGCCTAACACTTGCTACATAGGTTAGTTAGAAAGCTTAAGGGACTTAGGCATTGCACGGTCATTCACGAAATAAAAATAAATAAATATGGTTAGTTTGAGTTCGTAACCTTGCTAATTCGAGTTATTAAGCCTTTGGAGTGTCCTTACACTTAGCACCCTAAAGCCATCTAGTTTGGGAGTTGCTGGTCTAACACTTGCTATATGGGTTAGTTAGAAAGCTTAAGGGACTTCGGCATTGCATGACCATAATATGTATTTAAAAAAAATATTTGTATTTTGCATAAATCTTACCTCAAAGACCTCATTTAAAAGGGAAATTCAATGATTTGAAGACTTGTGTTTTGAAATTGGAAAAAGAAGGTAAAAACTGCATATTGGGAATCCGGTTCACTTTCATTGAAGTAAGAATTGATTTCTATTAAAGAGATGACAATTGAAGTATTTATATGGACTATGATGTTGATGCATGAGAATTGAAATATGTTTAGCCATTTTGTAATATTAAGGCTTCATATACGCAAGGTAGTCTGCAAAATGATTCCTTCTCCAATACGCTGTCTGTTCCAAGTTGTAAATGAGCTGTGCATGTATTTTCTTTCACTATGGTTGATGTATGTTGATAGCATTTCAAATGTTGCCATTTTGTTATAATTTTCATTTTTGGTTTTGCTATGGGACTAGTAAAATGTAAGTTTGGGGGTGTGATAATCACCGAATATTGCATATTCAAGTGCCCTTATTTGCATTAGTTAAGTCCATTAGTTAATCATACTGTATATAGTAGCTTCATTTGCATGTTTTTGTTTACTTTCAGGTTAGTTCTCCAAAGATTGCTAAAAGTGAAGTTTTGGTGAATTCTTGAAGAGTAAAGCATACCGTTGCCGGGAACCTTCATTGTGGCCAAGCCAGTGATCCATTGGACTTATGATTCTCTCTACAAAAAGTGCTAAGGAGGTGGGCCAGGCCAAAGTCATTGCAAGAATGTATTTTAGAGCCATCTGCAGAATTGCGGGCGGCCGTCATTTTGGGCAGAAAGTTTTGGATTTTGCAGGGGCCTGCAATGCACTACAGGCCCCAGCCAGGTGCCATGATATGCACCCTCGGTAACTCGTGGGCGCCTACCCTATACTGCGGGTGCCCGCCAATCTGCAGAAAGCAGGCCACCTACTCCATGGTTTTGCTCAAGTTGTCCCCTTTGACTGAATGAGTGGCTAGGCTTCTTTCTAGGGATTTCTGAGCCACGAATTGGGGGAGATAGATAAGATTTTTAGGATATATTTGGTGGCTTGTATCATGTAAAGATATCTCATATTGGAAGGCTATTTCTAGAGAGAGAAATATTGGGTTTCATTGAGGGTTTGTGTTGTTCTTGGCCTCTAGGTGCAAGAATGGAAGGGCTGGTCACTACAACTCTTTCATTCCTTGTTCCTATGGGTAACTAACTCCTTTTCTATGGAGGTGATGAAGCCCTATCTTGTAAGCATGCTCTACTTTTGATTTTAATTTGGGGAATGAATTGTATATATGGTAGTTTCATAATCTAGAGCACTAAACTTGATGTATTGGAGCTTAATCTCTATAAATGATTATGTTGAAGCTATTATCTTGTCTTAGATTATAATTTCTAATGATTGTATGGCTTGCATTTTCATAGTGACAATGGAAATGAGATTGTGAAATGGGTTTAATGACATGTTGTTTGAGAAGCTTGTTAGTCCATAGCTTAGGGCCTCCCTTTGATGGATTAATCTTGATTCTGGACTCCATGTGCTATCACCATAGTTATTGAGGGGTTTGATAGTCCCTAGCTTAGTAAGCATGTTATAGCTACACTCTAATTTAGGTAGTCCAAGCATGTGGAACTTTGAGGGATTATGCTTAATTTTTAATTCTATGAACTTCTTGGAGATGGTGTAGTAATCTTGAATTGCTACACATCATTGCCATATATCTAATTTGTTTCCCAAGTTAATTATAAGCTAGTATGTTTATAGGGTTGGTAGTTGATTCACTTCCCTAGTCTTCTCTACATATTTTTCCTCTCCTTTTTGTCTCCTTGAATTTATTGTTTATGCACAATTTAATTCTAAGTACTAAGTGACAAACCAAATAAAACTCTACACCTCCTTCATCAAACTAAAAAGGGTTTTAAAGACCTTGGTTGTCATAAACTAGCAGTCTTTGTGGTTTGACTTACCCCTATAATAGCCCTATTTTATAATGATTTGCGCTATTGCATGGGTTGATTATTTTTGGTAGCGTTTACCGACCCGACCAGACCCCCAACTCTTCAAATATTGTGCTAACCAAATCATTCGTAGGTGCGTTCCTGAGAGTGAGTTTCATAGTATTCTGACCTTCTGTCACACTCTTACTTGTGGAGGTCACTTCAGTGCAAAGAAAACTACTGTTAAAGTTCTTTAGTGCGGTTGGCCTTTACTCTTTAGGGATTCGTATATGTTCTATAGGTTATATGTGTGATGTCAGTAGTTAGGGTCGATTTCTAGAAGGAACATGATGCCTTTGACTCCGATCTTAATCATTGAGGTCTTTGATGTCTGGGATATTGATTTTATGGGTCCTTTCCTTCCTTCGAATGGTTATGAGTACATTCTTATAGCTATTGGCTATGTTTATAAATGGGTTGAGGAAGTGGCTACTAAAATCGTCGACCACGCAGTCGTGGTTGAGTTCATTCAAACGAACATCTTTAGTTAGATTGGTATGCCACGAGCTATTATTAGTGATGGAGGTACTTATTTTTGAAATAGGTATTTCCATATCTTGTTATTCAAATGCTTCATCAATCATAAAGTTGCCACTCCCTATCATCCCCAAACAAGTGGCTAAGTTAAAATATCCAATCGTGATATTAAGAATATTCTTGAGAAAATGGTTAAGCCAGATCTTAAAGATTGGTCTTACAGACTGAACGATGCTTTGTTGGCTTACCGAATAGCTTTTAAGACTCTGATTGGCATGTCACCTTACCGTATTGTCTATGGTAAAGGTTATACTCTTCCGGTAGAGCTAGAGCACAAAGCCCTTTGGGCTATTAAAAAACTTAATTTTGATTTGAACTTTGCTGGCTCTAATCGAAAGCTTCAACTTTCTAAACTGAAGAATTGTGTAATGATGCTTATGAGAGTGCCAAGATCTATAAATCTAAGACCAAGGCATTCCATGATCGTCACATATTGCATAAGACTTTTGAGCCCAGGCAAAGAGTTTGGTTGTTTAATACACGACTAAAATTTTTTGCTGGAAAGATTAGGTCACGTTGGGAGGGTCCATACATGGCTACTTCTGTTGAGCCCCATGGCGCGGTAGAGTTACAGGATTCTAATACTGGAGAGTTATGGAAAGTTAATGGACAGAGACTGAAACCCTACATAGAGGGTAGTGTGTAGAGAGGTATAGTGGAGACCGTAGAGCTTCATGATCCTATTTACTTGGACTAGAGAAGTCACTTTTGTGTCGAACTATCGAAGTTAAACTTAGCATTTACATGTATGTACTTTAGTTCGATTTGTTTGATTTATTTTATTTTTCTTTTTCTTCTTTATTTTATTTTGTTTTCTAGGTTTTAATTTTATTTTTAGGTTAGACTTAGGTTTGTTGTAGAAAATTAAAAAATGAAAAAATACAAATTGGTTCAAAAAGCTTGAGTAGAGATTTTTTTGCTCTAGCTTTATAGAGCTCGAACACAATCCCATGTGCTCGAGCATTTCAGTATCGCTAAGTTTAAGTGGTGTATGCTCGAGCAGAATACTCTCTGCTGGAGCACTGCTTTTTAAAATTCTAAAAAAAACCCTCGTGACTTTGTCTTTTGCTCACTTTACTCCAGCGCACCATTCCTTCATTCACCTGATTAGATGTTTAGGGCCAATTTATGTTTTCTTTTTGATGTATAAGCACTTTTGTTGACTACGTCACTTGATTTTGTTGTATTTTCCTTTTATTTGCTGCGTTCTGGCCCTAAGCCGTATTATGAAGCATTGCACTGATTTTGACACATATATATACATGCTCATTGCCTATTTTGACATTGTTTATGGATGGATATTCTGTTTGATTGTGCATAATGATATATATATCTGTTTTACTCCATATACTTGATACTCTAATATGTGTTGTGAGTGTGATTGTTTTGCCAGGTGCTGAGGACCAAGTTTGGGGGTGATATTCCTATTTTGTCCTTCTGAGCTGTAATTGCGTATTCTTTGCTGGTTTTGCGTACACTGGTAATATCTTTCTAACTCTGAATTATTTTTACACATTGAGGACAATGTGCATCCTAAGTTTGGGGGTAAGGCAGTGTCCTTCTAAATTTTGCTGTTGATATGTTATGCACAAGAGGATGAATTTTAACTGTTTAAGCATAAGTTTAGATCTGTTTGTGTGTTATGATGTCCATATGCAGTCTGATATTGGTTAAAGATGGCTTATATGCCAAATTCATGTTAAATGGGAATTTTTGAAATTTTTTGAAATCAGTTGGTGGCCTATAGTCCACTTTGTCAGGCTATTTGCAGTTTGATGATTTTAATCTCTGGAATGCTTCACTTTACACATGTTCACACTTACATGCATTCTGTGGGGTATAAACTTGAAATTTTACTCTGTTTTGTGTTAAACTGAGATGAGCAGATAAATTTGATAATTTTGACAAAAAAAATTGGTATGTTTACAATAAAATTGAAAAGAGCTTTTTCACCGAGTAATTGGGACTCTTGCCTCATTAAGCATTGGGGACTCACACAGAAAAGTGAAAGAGACAATAAAAAGAAATAAAGGGTCGAGTTTGGGTTTGTAGCCTAGATTACTTGAGCAATTAAGTCCTTAGGGGTGTTTTGACACCTAATGCCCTAAAACCATCTGGTTTGGGAGTCAATGGCTGAAAACTCATTATACAAGTGATTTACAGAGCTTAAGAGATTCGAGCATTGCATAGTACCCTATTAGAAAAAAATTTGAAAAAAAGAGAGTGATGAATGAAATAAATACATACTTGTGAAAATTAGAAAAATATGCACAAGTAAGGTTCAATCCACACAAACTATGTCCTAGAGTTCAAGTCTAGATAGCATATGACTTGTTAAGCCTCCAATATGCAATTTATACAACAAAACAAGAATATTTTACAATAATTGAGCCACATTACCACACTAAGTACTAAATACGTCCCAATTAGTAACTAGCTTCCATGGTAAACAATTGTAATATTTTAACAAGCTATATACCTACACAAAATATATATATACAAGCTATGCAAGACAATGATATCACATATCATGCTAAATCAAATCACCATCTTTAGAGCCCACAAGTACTAATTCCACAACAAGTTAGTAGCATGCTCACAAGGTAATTAAACGGATTACATTTCAAGGAATTATCAACCTATCACATCCAATATCAATTTAAGTGACTAACACGCTTAAAATAAAATTAATTAAGCTAATTAATTAATTTTTCACTAGATTTTCAAACATATCCAAATATCCTCAATTTAATATATGTTAAAGAACTCATCAAGGCCTACTTAAATATCACATTACAAGTTGATTTCATGCTTTATACAACTATGTGAATTAATCTTTTACAAAAGATAAATATTAAATAAGTTTTGCAATTCTTATTCAAATACCCCAAATTTAATATATGTTACACAACTCACCAAGACCTAATTTACTAGCATGCCACAATTTAATTCTAAACTACATATCATCATTAGAATTAAATCCTAAACAAAGAAAATAAATAAATTAAATTCTAAAAACTTGAACAAGGCATGCTCACAAGTTGTATATGCTTATAAAATAATCAATACAACAATAATATAAACCTAAGATATCCTTTACCTCAATTTGAGATGAAAATCTTAAAAGGCCACCGAAAAAAAAGTGCTCCAAATCTGACAACACTGAAGGGTTTTGTCGGGGACAACATGATCTACATGAACCCACAAGAAGCCCCATCAAAATCACAACTTGACTTCAAACCCGAACTCAAAATTTGGCCAAAAACGGGTTCTAATAAGGGGAAAAGATGCGTGTGGTCAAGACAAACATAAAACGTGAAGGTACTTCGACTTTTTAACAAAGGGAAGAAGGTTCAAATGAAAGAAGAAGGGTGGCAGCCCCCTTGGGCTGCCATAGCAGGTTCTGGTCGTGCATAGAGAGGGGAGAAGATGACTTTTTAATTTTAAGTCCCCCTATTTATAGAAAATCTCAAAAAGTGCCCCGAACGAGCCCCGCCAGGTCCGAAAAAGTGAAATTTGAGCAGACACGCTCAAATGGAAAAACTCCATGAATGAAAAAGATTCAAAATGAGAAAATATAAACAATGGAAGAAACGGCGTCAAAAACTGAGTCCCGGGCAGAGAGTTATGACCCGAACAAGTTCGGCAGCAACTGGGGCCAGAAACCCTGAAACTGGAGAAAAATGACCAGAAGGAAATTCTATGAGTACACGACTAGACGAAATGTGAAAATGAATCCTGTACGAGGATCCAGGCTCCAGACGAGGTATTTTGCAATAACTTTCGTTAATTACATAATGGCCCCTTCAAAAAGTGAAAACTGCACAACTGCCCCAGAATGAAAATATCTTCCAAAAATATTTCTTAAAAACCCCTGAAACAAAATATCTTCAAAAGATATTTACAAAAAACACCATAAGAAAAGAAAAAGATTCTGAAAAATTGTGCGTCCATGCCCCTATGGACACCGGGAGCAACCGGAGTACTTTACTGCAAAAGTAAGGATACGTATTTCGTGGAAACAACTTAGAATGAAGATACGTGAAGTCAAAAACCAACTCTGAACACAAAGAGTGAGGTTATGCCAACCAAGTGAAGAACGGGGAAAAGACAAAATAGGGAAAAGGACAAAACAGGGAGAAGGACGAAAAGTGAATAGTGTCAAAAAATGAAAAATGTTGAAATGACTCGGTCTTCAAAGGAAGTTGTCAATCCAAAGGAAAGAGTCTCAAAAAAACATTTCTGAGCACTCGAGATGACACTAAGCGACGAGAAACTGAACTCAAAAAAGAAATTTGAACGAAAAAAATTCATCCGTGAAATTCTGAGGGAAAAAAAAAAAAGGGAGGAAATGACCGGGTCATTACAACCTACCCTCCTTAAAGAGATTTCGTCCTTGAAATCAGAAACATTCCCAGAAGAATTGAAAAAGGACCGTACACAAGGTTACACCAAGGAACAGATCATAAAGTATCCAAGGATAACTCTAAAGGTTTCAAGATCAATGAAGAGACACGAAACCGCAACTAGTGAGACGCCTCTCCAACAAATTGACATACTAACCCAATGTCAACCACCCAAAGGGGATCCAGGCAACTACATAACTAAACAAGGAACACAACCAGAAGCAACATGGCAGCACGAATACTGACTAGAACCCGCCCATTATGTACCCAAGGTATGGTAGCATCTACAGTGTCAAGTGCCTGCCCACACTCACATTACTAGCTAGGTAATGCAAGGTAGCATCGACGGTAACTTGCACTCGCCCACACACAACTTGTACGGTAGCATGACAGTATAAAGCCCTAATTCATCACCTGCCCCCAACAAGCTTACCCGTGAAACCTATTGATACAAATGACATCAATGTCAAAATGATCATTACCAAAAGCACCACGAAAACCAGGCATTCTGTGAGAGTTATGATATGGTCTAAAATGTCCAACCGAACCATTCTTGCCAATCCAAAACTCTGACAACAATGTCATAGGCACCGCTATGCTTAAGGCCTTAAATCCTCAATACGTAAAAAAACTGACAACCCCAAGTCTCAAAACACCGTTGTCAACTATATCAGTCACGAATCCAAAGCCTGACAAGTTTATGCCTTCAAGCCAATGGATCGGACTTTACAAAATCAAATAATATTGTCATCACCTTAGTCACAACGACTCCCAACAAGACAATACACCCAAAATCTTCCACGTCATCCTAAAGCTGACCTACTATAAGGCTACGCCTAGGAATCAAGACATCGGATCAAGCTCACACACATAATCCCGACAACTAAGGTCATACAACCCTAAGCACAGTGCCGAAGGATAAAAAGGAATAAACTAATAAAGCAATTAGTCATGAAACATATATATACATATGCAAGTATACATTCACAAGCATACTAAGAAATATCGAAATGGAAATACTATATATATATATGTATAAGTATACATTCACAAGTATACTAAGCAGTACTAAATACATGCTAGATAAGTATACAGGCTCAAGTATACTAAACCCAAACGGAATGAAATAAATAACGTGCAAGCATACGAGGTACAAGTATACTAAACATAACTGAAATTCTATGTACCAAACAATTAAACACACAGTGTACAAGGGCAATCAAATATGCTACTTATCATA